TGTGGGGGGAAAAAAAAAGAGAAACTACTTAGAGGGTTTTTCCATCATTATACCCAAACTTAGTGGTGGTTAATCTATATGACATATTAGGGGGGAAAGAAAAATACAATTCTAAATTCACTAAACTACAATAACTGTCAAATGAGAGTCAGAAGACAGGGGACAGGTATTTGGGTTTTCTTCTTGTTTCATTTTCTTCTCAATTAGGTATTACTCTTTTTTTTTTAAGACATGGACGACTTTGCAACAACAGTCCAGTGGCCACTGTTTGATGAATGATAAGAAAATAAACATCTGTGTGTGTGTGTGTGTGTGTGTGTGTGTGTGTGTGTGTGTGTGTGTGTTAGTCACTTGACTGTCACTTAGCGCTCACGTACCCAGTTATTGTGAATATACAAGATATTGGGCGGCAACTCATTTTAAAGCACACAAACGTTTACATGGGTTGAAGGTGACGAAGGTTAACATCTGTTTGCGCTTCTTCAGTTTCAATGCCATAACCTAACACAGTTTTTTAAATAAAAAGTTGGCTGGCTTTTGAAAACTGGCTAATCAACTTCGAAAATGGATTCAGTTCATTTCACGAGTTAGTCCAGAAAAAACGCGTTGTAAATGTGCATCTGTTTTTCAAATGAAATCATCTTCCTCTGGCAAGCCTGCCATTGCTGTCCCATATTGCGCTGCTTCATACTTGAATTGATTTGCTGGCCTTAACAGCAGCCACTAGAATACCAAAGTATGAGAATATATGGAAGCAAAATGACAGAGGGGGGTGACTCCCAGAGTAAGAAAAGTGCAGAATAAAAATCAGCACGGTCCCCAGCAACAAATCTTAGTACCTATATCTACAAGCATGAGCTGGACTAGACTTCCACAAACTGAAAACTCTGCCACCTCCAAGGGAAGGACCTGCCCTGTATTCTTATCAGCACAGAAAAGCAGAGCCCTGCAGCCAAGATGAGTTTAGTGTAACAATCAAGGCCACTGACAGATATTTTCCTCATCTATATTCAATGGGGCTCGAAGCAAGGTTTTGCCTCGAAGCAGAAAAGACCATCAGTGAGACTGATGACGGTGTGTAGGTAAAGGATGCCAGGCACTCAGAGATTCTGAAATCAGAGTGTGCCAACAGTATCTGGTGGCTAGCTACACTAATGGAAGAGCAAGTTATTCTCCCCACACCTGCAAATCCAGGCCCCTTAACTCCATCTTTTTGGATGCTACAGCACCACTTATCCTTCTTTGTGGCAGCTATGACCAAAAAGGGAGTGAGAGGTAGCAATAAGAATAAACTCCACATTACAGGACCAATTTTACTATCATTTGAGAAACTTTTGCAAGGGGTTCTGCTATACAATCCTTGCAGAATCTAGTATTGCCTCGTTAATGGGGGTGGCTACCGTGCTTGGTGCAGACTGCTACAAGATGTACACAAGCTTAGGTGTAGATACTCCTTTGCAGTCTTCACAACCTGAGCTACCCCATGAGGTCTTCAGGGGCCTCCATCTGTGCAGGTAAAGGAAGGATAACTACACCAGAAGAAGAGAAGGATACTAGGTTAAGGTAGGGAAACTTTGTCCCTTGAGCACATAGGAATGGACACTAGGAAGTTTGAAGCAATGGTTTGCAAGCCTAATGCTTCTCACTAGAGAAAATACTGAAGTCACAATAGGCAGAAAAAGAATAAGTGTAACCAGAACCACAGTTATCCTCCAAGTCATAGGAAGTACCTTATAAGAAAACCTGAACTGACAGTGTAGGCAGACTGGTAGCAGAGACAGTTTCCTACCAGCATGGTTTTAACGGGTTTGGAGGGACTGTTTTGGGGCCGACGGTTACCTCTAAAAACTAAAGAGCTTATGGAACCTGCATCTAACTTGCAGCCAACTGCTTTAAACCGGGCTTGTCTCAATTAAGTGGGAAGTGGGGTCCCACAGGGCTCGGTCCTTGGGCCCGCCCTGTTCAACATCTTCATCAGTGATTTGGATGAGGGGGTGCAAAGCACCCTGTTCAAGTTTGCTGATG